CAAGGTTCGTATTCTTTTTTTATTTCCATACTGCTTTCATATAATTTAACTTGACCTATATAACAAATTCCACCTCGAAACTCATCTGTGATTTAAAATATGCTTCCAATGTTCGTGTCATTATATCCTCGTTAAATACAAAGCCACAGGGGGTTCTCGATAAAACAATAAATCCGCTGCAACGTCGAACAAGTACTTGGACCATCGATGGTCCACATACTCCTCGTTAAGCGCAACTTTTATCCAACTACCTCTGCGATACTCGATGTTTCGAGCACAGGCACTCGAATCACTGTTGACCCAGTAACGTATCCGACTCCAGAAGCCAACGATAACCAACGGAAAAGTGGAAACAACGATATCTCAGTAGAGAGACGAACGAGTATCATTTTTCTATTGACCAGTAATTCGAAACGTAACTTCACAGAGCAGCCAGAAAATCTCAGGTGTATAACCGATGGAAGAAATATATCGAGGTTGGAAGATCAGTTAGGCACGAGTGTTATAAATTCAAGTTATATTGACAAGTGAATCGACAGAAATTCGAGAAGATAAGGGCTCGACACTTCAGTCGAGGTCGCTGAAGTATGCTTCAGCTATGATTCGATAATACTTCAGTTTACGATTTCTTCCATCAACTATACTTCTTGTTTGTGGCAACATTTTGACCGACTTTCAGAGCTTCACGGTGATATAAGTTGGTCAATATATATTAACGATCTGATCGATTCTTAATATTGGAAGAATTGGAACTGTTATTCTTCGGTAAGTTAAAAAAAATTAGCGAAATCTCGTTTTTATAGGAAAATTGAAACGCAGTGGAAAAGTTATATTGAGGTATTGAATTGTGGATTTTTCAAATTTTTCTTTCTTTCTGCAATTGTTTTGTTGACATTGAACAGCGGTTGCCGGGTCACCGGCATTTAGACGTTTCAATCGGCATTCGAAACAGAATTACGACACCTCGTCTCCTTATTTCAATCCTAATATATTTGCATAATTTTAAACAATAAAATTTCTAATAAAATAAAGAAATTAAAGAGACTTTAGTTTTGGGTCATATTTGACCCGGCATTCGACGCGCGTGCGGCTATCACGCCGTCCGCTGTCCGAGGCTTGATCTTTGTCAAAAACAAAAAAAAACAAAAACTAAAGAAATAGAAAAAAAAACCGTGAAATCATTTTAATAGCCATGACGATCCCACCACGAGGGTAAGAAATTCCAGCAAAATGGAAACAGTCGGAGGACGTCGACTTATCGACGAGAGGTATACGGTGGTGAACGATATCCGTTGTGGCCAGGGGGGAACTCTCGACTGAGTCGGCAAACATCATTATCTCAAAGAATCTGTCAGCGTGTCGCACGTTTCGTCGTCCCGTGGGATCTCTGCTTGGCTCTCGTTAAGGAATCCGTGGCCGGAACTTGGGTAAAGACACAAGTGGCCGACAGGGTATAATCCCGAAGGTAAAAGCAGCGCCACTTTCCCGACACTTTTTCCTCTCTCCTCTCTCTCTCTCTTCTCTTTCTTCCTGCGCCACGTGAGTCATTCCTCGAGACCACGTGTGTCAGTTTCCTCCTCTCTTTCTCCTTTACATCGCTTTCTGTTTCTCTCTCTCTCTCTCCTTTCTCTTTCGTCTAGTTCTCGCCATTTCTTTCACTCGTAACACGCGCGCTGGTTTCTTTTCTCTGTTGTCTTTTCTCACGCGCTTCGTCCTTTTTTTCACTGCTTCGTTTTTTCTCCCCCCTTTCAGTCTTGTTCTGATTTTCTTCTTCTTCTTACGCTTTTTATGACGATTTTCTTTCGGTCGTGTTAACGAAACATTTTTTCCTTGCGTGGCTGTGTGTGGTGGTTTCCTCGAGAGTTCTCCCATTTGTTTTCGGATCTTTGTTCTCTCAGATGACGGCTTTTTTCCTTCGCTCGATTACTTACTTTTGCCTTACGGTTTTCCACTTCTCTGAGTGTTTTGTCGATTCTTTTCTGTCTCCTTCTTTGTTTTCCGTCTTCCTCCTCTTGTTGGTTTCTTGTGTTTGGGTAGACTGTTTTTATTACATTTCGATTTTCACTTTTTGTGTGCAATTTATCGAAGAACAGGTTTCGCCAAGTTACAACCGAACAAAGCTTCTTTAAATATCTTCTTCTTTTTCTTGAAAGCTCTATCCCTACTTTACACCAAACGTTTCCTTAAGAAACCTAAACTTCTCTCTCTTTTTGCATTTCTACCTTTTCTACTATTCAATGGTCTGAAAAATCAGAAAACACGGATATCCCTGTTTATTCTCATATATCCTGCTCACACTAGATGGCTCTGAATTTGCCGATACACACAATTATTCCTCCGTAACACATGAGAAAGGGGAATTTCGTCAAATCTTCGAGAAAAAACCGAGTTTGATTTCACGGACCCGTCGGGAATCGAACCCGCGATCTTCGCGTTACCGGTCGGGCGCTTTAACCACCGCAGCCAACGTCTTCCCCCGACTTCATCTATTTTCATACAGCTTTTCTATCGTTATCTTCTGAATCGTCTCGATTTTCATCTTTACCTCTCGTTTTCATTCTCCTATCTTCAATTGCTCTTCTCCGCTCTGTTTACTCTCTCTTTCTTTCGCGTAAGTACTTATACACGGCGCTCGAGCGTGTTTACACGTTTGCGTGGAGAGAGAGAGAGCGCGAGTTTCGCTGGGCATGGGTTGTCAAGGGGGGAGCAGAAGGTGGCGGGTTGTTGCAACTTAACAAGCTTAGCCCCCTTAATCCCCTTGTAAGCTAGCAATGTCTACAAGGGGTCAGCCCGTACGCATGAAATGCATCCGTTTACAGGACGAGCTTTGTCTTCGTTCCAGGGTTAAGGTTTACGTCGACCGACCGTGGAGATCGAGACGACAAATTGGGGGATGTGCCTTGTGCGGGGCAGTGCTTCCCTCCCCGTGCGCTTAACGGGGCAGCAGCCTCATCGAAAATTAAGGGAAACGGGGAAGGAACGTTTCTTTCTTGTCCTTTTAAAGGGAGAGAAAAAATGTGAAAGGAAGCGTGAATTTTTGAATATTTCTCTCTCTCTCTTTTCGGTCTTGGTTTTTTGCCTGTCTTGATTACAGTTTATGGCCAAATGTGTAAAATTTCTTCCTTTGCCTCCTCTAACACACTTTCTTCTGTTCTTCTTCTTATTTTAAAGATAATAAATACGGAAACTGACAGGAAAGTGTGAATATTTTCAAGAGTAGAATAAAATGGAGTAGTTTGCCTATCTTAATTGTGCATAGTTTATGGTTCGATTTAAAAATTCATTCTCTTTAATTGGTTGCACTTTTCAAAGATGAAAGAATAACGTTTTGCTGAGTCTCTGAACTATGCTATACTTTTCTTCATTTTCTTCTGAGAATGTATTACAGAATTGTACAAAAACTGAGATAAAATCACAGAAACTTTAATATACACGCTATTTCGAATGTGACATTGTCAACGAACCAAGTGAAATTTCTTTTATCTAAATTCGTTTAAACCCAGACTCTGATTTCAACAGATATTTCTTAGGAAGTCGAATAATTTCTTCAATTTAATCCTGTTACTTTGTACACATCTCAGTTATCACATACTTCATGCTACAATTAAAAATCTTCCCATTCTCTTTCTTTTTTGTCGATTTTCGAGGAAACTGTAATTCCATAATTCGTCTCGCGTGAAGGAACACAATAATCCTAGGGCATAAAAACTGACGGCAATCTTTTCGTAGTCCCTCGAAAGAGTGGCATAAAAAATGGTAGCGCAATCTCGTCTATATATAACCCGTGGACCAATTTATTCGAGGTAAAACGCATTTTGATCGGCCCATTAACGACGAGAACGGTCTCAAGATAAGCCAAGTCCACCCTGTGTATATCATTCCCACGTTTCACGTCCATAAACCAACCAACAACACTGATTCCAACTTAATATACTACAGAATGAAGCAGCGTTTTCCAACCCTCGTAGTAACAGGCCTCCTTCACCAAATTAACCAATTCTCCCTCATTTCCACCGTCCCACTTTATCAAACAATTTATTCTCCCGCCCAGAAAAAAAAAAAAAAACAAAAAATCATCAGATACCGTTATCGAGGTTATGACAACAGCACGTTCGATCTTCAATTAAACAAATTGCATTTCATGTCCCTTTCACACTCCGCTCGACTTCTATACCTTCAGCTGTTTCTTTTTTTTTTTTTTTTATTTAACCTTTCGACAATGTTAAAATGGAATTTCACCGAAGAAAATCGAAGGGTTAGGAGAGAAGAACGAAGAATGTCGCAAAATAGCAAGAATCTTCTTTTTTCTTTCCTTTACTCTTCAATTTGTATTTTACAATTAATACACGATCGACGCTGAATTACTGCGAAATATTTTTAAACTCGGAATCAATTACAATATATTCCCTTTTCCTTTCAATCTCAATTCGCTCTACTGTATTTCTCGAGAAAGGGAGAGAGTAGAAAGGGAAAATTAAACGACGTTCGTTAATTAAACGACGCGAGAAAGACGCACAGACGGTCGAATTACCGTCTGCGGGCGGAGGAAAGAAGCTCAAGGCGGCGTTTTCAATTTCGCGAAAACGCGAAACCGTAGCCCACGTTGCGTTACTTCTTGATCAATTTTCTTTCAGAGTGAAAGTCACTCTCTTTCTCTCTTCCCCTTTGCTGCAACGTGCAAGCTTAATGAAATTCCGTTCCGCCGACAAACGACGATTACTTTCACCCTTTCGTGAGAGAGGGTTGTTGGCCAGAGTAGTATGCAGACTGAACAACCGTAACAGTATCCTTTTCTTGGCGTTACGCGTGCACTGTTTTCATGGGGACGACGACAAACCCCTCTTCGACGATACGGAGAACAAACTCTGATGCAGAACAGAGTTTCTAGCCGCTCGTTTCTTTCCAAGTTTTCAAGCGATTATGAAATTTCAACCCTTTGAAACCCGAGCGATTCTTTCCACTTTTACCGTCGTTTAAAAGTTGAAAATAAATTTACAAAACGCTGTAATACATGGTTCGATTTCTCTTCAGAAATGTCGTAACCGATGTTTCACGAGTTACATAAAATTTCTTTGGAAAATTATCAATTAGTTGTAAAAGTTCTTTTTTCCAACGTAACGTGATTGAAAGAAATAGACGCGAAATCATCGCGGTACTCTCGTGTCAAGTGCGGCTCGAAACGCCTCGACGCGAATGTGTTGAATTTCAATCCCTTGAAACCTCAGCAATTTTTTGTTTACTGTCACATTTTTTACATTTGAAAGTTGGCATCGCAAACGGAAGTATTCTGGTTGCACTGATTAAGAAAGTGCTCTAAGTCGAAACTAAAAAAAAAAAAATTATATTTATTATTTATGTTGCATCGATTTGCGTAACAATAATGTTGAACAATTTTTAGAAAATATATACAATGTAGAATTTTTGTGAAATGTTGAGAAAGGATGATAAGAATGTCTAGATGTATTCTACTTAGGCCATTTTCGTAATCAGCTTCACAAATTGCGAGAAACAGAATGCAAACCTCTTTTCCTCGCGAGAAGTAGGGGGGGGGGGGCCAAGGTAAGGCCAATTAACGATATCGTTCCCAGACGCGTTATTTTTCAAACGGAGAAGGGAAAACAAATAGAGGGGAAATTACCTCGCTGCAGCCGCCCCATTGCCAATTATTCTGGTGTCGAGTTCTGACCCGGTTGTCGCACGAGCAATCGGTGAGTTCGCCCCTGGAACAAGCTCTGGTCACGCTGTAGGCAACCCCGGCCGCTGATATTGCGTAAACGAAAGCTGCCTCGCGACTGTCTGCAAAGATACACCGGAATTTCTTCGTTTTAGAGACAATTTTTTCCATTTTTCAAACCTGCTTCTTCTCCAATTTTCATCTTTGGATCCAAAAATGACCCGCACACCGTACCAGGATTAATTTCAAATACATCGAGTACAGTGATTGTGCACTGTAAATTAGGAAGATCTTATTCAATTATTTCACAAAACTTCGCCAGTGTGTTCTGTAGTTAAAAATAAAGCTAAAATGTTGTATAAAAGTTGAATTTCTATTTTAAGAAAGCAACGAGAACGAAAGCTACACGAAAATTTTTAACCTCGTCAACAGTCAAATTGAGTATCTATCTATTTTAGGTAATCCCGTAAGCTCGTATCGAATTTTATAATTTAGATCAATCTTTTCAACGAACCTTTAATTTTTATTAAAAAGAAAAAACGTAAGCGTCCACACATTCCACGACTTTTTTCTATTTTTTTTTACAGTACGACGGTATTTTCATTAAAATATTTTTCACCATCGACACGAACTTACGGGATGAGCTTCTCCGATCACCATGGATGATCCACGCGGCGTAGTAATACGTTTTCAGTTCGCCAGGTGGCGCACTGCTATTGAAAAATAACATACGCAAGACACTCCGCATATTAAACTCAGAATCCAGTAACTTCTGTTACATATTGTATATAACTACATATAACTACTATTTCTCATCTCAAGTTTCCAAATACTCCACGTGAAATGTAACGTTCCGGTTCATAGCCAATCCTCATATTCACGTATCGACACCTCAGCCTGAAACTTCCATTTTCTCGTCAAATTCTTTTCACCACAACCTTTCACCTTGTCAACAAAAAAAGAGAAAGAAAAAGAAGAATCTATCCTTCATCGAGCACTCGACAGACAAAGCTTTTACTTACTGACTAGCATCACTCCACCGAAAATGTTGTCCGGATTTTCCGGGCTGATGGAGCAGTTCCATCTGGCAGAGCGGAACTGGTGCTGACACTCCTCTATAGCCAATCTAGCGCCCGCGCTTACTGCCTGCAAAGTAAAAACCGTGAAAGCCGCGAATGGAAAGGAAAAGCAAGTGCCTATCTCGAGTTACCGGTTCCATCATCGATTAGTCTCCAGAGTAAAGCGAAGAGAAACGGACGTTACAAATAAGCGCTGTTTCCACACATGTGTCTAACAGTATCCGCGTTTCAATATGACAGATGCAAGTTGCACCTCTAACAAAATGCCATTTTTTACTTTTTCATTGCAATTTTATATTTAATTAGTGAAATTGATCAATCTGCACATTGTTGTAGTTATGACAGCATTGAACAGATTTTCTCTTTAGTGTTCTCTTATTTGTAACAATGATGGAAGCTTTTCCTCATGTTTTTTACAATATTGCAGAATTAACAGAGAAATTTGTTTATTTGTCTCTTCAGTGTTTTTCTATCTCTAACACCGGTGAAAGATTTTCCCTATGATTTTTTCAAATATCAGAAGTTTATCTCGACGTTTTTCATCCACTCTAATCCTGTTACAGAAAAATCATAAAAGAAGACCACAATTTCAATAAAATTACAGAATACAACAAATCCACACATATTACAAAAATACCTAATCCCGAACCAACACACAACCACGTTCACGTGACATCAATTACCCATCATCGAGCAGATAAAACCCATAAAAAAAAAAGACAGAAAACGGTAGAATTCGATAATCGAAATTTCGACACGGGAGTAAATCGAGGATGGTTGGACGTGTGGACGGTTAATCGTGGCAGGAATTAAACGTCCGTCGCGGTGTCGTTATGAATATTCATGGTGGGGCCCTTTTGTCGGCCAGGCAGGACACGGAAAAGCGAGACGACTCGTCGGCGACGTTCAAAGAGATATATCGAGGCTCAAGTTTACCTAGGCACCGGCTTCTAGACGAGCCCGGCCCCACCACGACAAGATTTGTGCATTAGGCGAAGGTAAACGCGATTTTGGGTAACGTTCAGCCGCGTTTTCACCGTTTCTACCCGTCAAGCATCGCGCGCCACGCGGTGAATCGCGAGTGAAACTTTCATTCAAAGTCTGTAAACCTCCACCCTTTTATATCTCTCGTTTAACGTTCAACTATACTGTATTTTCATGTTCTATACAGTGGTCTTACAGTCTGGCCAATTTATTTTCATTTCAATTCAGGTAACAGGTGTGGCAATAGAATATGAAGATTCTCTCAAAGTTGAATACTCAGGTTAACCCCTATGCCTTATGATTTGTTAATGGCTGTCTCTCTTGAACATAGGTGAAACAGTATTTTAATTTTTATAATTAAAATAAACATTAAATTTTTAATTCTTTTAATTTAAAATTTCATTTTCTTGTTCAAGTTTACAAGTTGTTCGTATACAGATTGCAACGAGTAACAGAGAATTTTCCAAGAATTGTTTAAAAAAATTTATTGAATATTTAAGAAGTTGCATTATACACCTGTTTTATGTCAATTTGTCCTGAATATCTCACAATGTCCCTTTGAAAACCGTAACATTCTATTGCCGCACCTAGTGTATGGGTATTGTCTCGATTTTTACTGTTTCTCGGTATTGTAGAGTGAAATTAGGAAGATTTTATGCCGACTTGTAGACCACTGGAGAGAACATGTTGGAATCTGTGTATTGTTAGCTTCTCATGGTAATGTTATGTACATGGTGATGTTACACCGTTCTCTTTAGAGATGTTCCTTTTCCTCTGTCTTAGTGGATTCTTGTAGCTTGGCTTGGTTAAATGGTCTGAGGAGAAAGTTGAGGTTTGCCGTTGGCTAGGTTAGAAGATTTGAAATTAGTGTGCTGTAGTTTTGTAGTTCTTCAGTTTAGGTCTGTACTGATTATGTGGCCGATAGAAGAGTCTTCTGTAGCATTGAAACTAGAAGAATTTTTATATTCAATATTTTACAATCGTATGCATGATCAATCTTTAAAAAGATTAGTCACTTTTGAATCATAAAAATCTATCAGACACATCAAATTATTCCATATTTTATCATCTCACAATTACTAAAAATCATACCCATTGTTCCAGTCAACAGCTTCGCTTACATAAAAAATAAACTTCGTCGTATTTATAATTTTTTTCCAGTTTACGAAACCCAAAAGAGAAACCTAAAAATAATAAATAGAAGAATAATCTCATCAGTAATTAAGACTAATTTAAATAAACGTTAAAAGTAGAGTGAAATAGATATACGAGAGATGAAAAATTCTACAAGTATATATATTTGAAGATTTACCTTTTTGGATTTCGACTGAAATGTTAGACTGACTTATAGCGACATCGTGGTTCTACGAGGATCCAGACTCGATCTAAGATCAGAGAATTCGCGACTTCATTTCCCGA